CAGTGAGGGAGGGAGTAGGGCAGGCACTGCTCAACCAGGGTGGGGTGGCTGTGGGATGGATCCACAGTTTGTCTGGGGGCGGGAGGGTGTGTGCCCCTGGGTGGGAGCATGCTGGAGCTGGGGCTGCGCTGAGCTCTTCTTGATAAGGGCTGGGCTGAGAGCAGGCAGTGGTGGTGCTGGGAGGGGGCTATGGGGGGAACTGCAGCCACCCCAAATTTTGCCGTAGCCACCCCCCACCCCATACCCTTTCCCAGCACCACCTGCCTGGAGTGCAGCCCTTGTTCAATGCCCTGCCTTCACCCACACACCGGGAAGAACCGGGGCTGCACTGGGCAGGTGGCAGCAGGGCTAGGATGGGAAGCTATGGTGAAATTTGGGGTGGCTGCAGCCCCCCCCACCCGTAGCCCCTTCCCAGTGCTGCCGCTGCCCCCGAAGCCCTGCCAAGAAGAGGCTGGTGCAGCCCTGGCTCCAGCCTGCCCTGCGCAGACCCAGAGGCACCCCCCCCCGGTGCACACAGCAGCACAAGCTGCACTCCCTCTGCTCCCCAGACAAGTCACGGTTCCATCCCACCCTGGCTGAACAGTGTCTGCCCTTGCCACACTCTCTCACTGCAGGGGCCATTGATCTGCCCTCCCATGCCCTTCCCTCCCCCTTTCCCTTCCACCACAGCAGACTTACCTGCTGCATCAGAAATCAAACCGATATCATCTGATATGCCCCCTTAAAAACTGGCTATCGGTATTGGCCCCCAAAATCTCTATTGGTGCATCCCTGAGTAGAGTATCATTACCACCTAGTGTAGTTGGGGAGAGGCCTGGAGAATTTAACAGGGAGAAAATGAACAACAATGAGGCTATTGGAGGACAAAGGAATGGGTTCTTTTTCCCCATAATCCTCACTATTCCTTTCTAGACTCCTCAGTGCCATCCCACTGTTCCCTTCCCATGGGTTAGTTTGTACTTTTCCCTTAGTTTCTAACCATTTCACCCTGAGTCCTTAAACAGTCCTTTTACTTATCCTTAATGAGAAAACATAAGTGATACACCAGTGATTTTTTTTTTTTAAGCTTCAAAACACTGTCCCTACAATTTTCTGACCCTGGGCACTGGTGGGGGGGAAATATGAAGCCACTTAATGCACAAAGAATCTCCACTACAGTTGCACACAGGGTCCAGTAAACACTGATCATGAGGCCATCAGTGCACAGTATCATTCTTTGAGGTCACCAAGCTGGGGGCTGAGCAGTGATTGTCAATTGCTGAAAGGGATGACAAAGTATATTGAAAGCTTCAGCGTTTCGTATTTTAAAGGCTTCAGAGAAAATGCTGTAATGATAAACTCCCAGGAGATGGGTCAGGCCAGCTGGCCTCTGGGTTCTCCCCATCCCCATTACCTTGTATTGTGTGGATAAGTGCTTTGATTTGCTTACCAGGAGGAGGAGGAGCGCCGACACAAGGAACTAATGCAGAAAAGGAAGGAGGAGGAGCAAGAACGAGTGAGGAAGATCGCAGAGCAGAGACAAGCAGAGCAAGAGAGGGAGAGGCAGCTGGCTGCAGAGAGAGAGCTTGAGAAGAAGAAGGAACAGGAGAGGATCCAGGCAGAGAGGTGAAACATGACCTTCCTCTACATACCATGACCCTCTGCCATGACCCAGGAGTCGAGTGGCAGTGAAACATTCTGGTAAAAAAGTGAGGGACTGCTTGTGTTCGGTCAATGCTGGTCTGGAGGCCCCTGAGTAGAAAGAAAGAAGTTCTGGGCCCACTAATGGGAAATTGTGGGCAGCTGATGAGAGCCTTAATGAAAAAAGCTGGGTGGTAGTCACCATGGGTGAGAGACATTCTGTACACTGTTCTTTTTGTATGTTTCTTGATTCCAAGGGAACGTGAGCGGCAAGAGAAGGAGAAAATCCTTCGCCAGCAGAAGGAACTAATGGCAGCTAGGGAGAAGGAGCGGCTCCGACAAGAGATGGAGGAAAAGAAGAAACGGGTAAGGGGTTTCTCTATCAGTGTGGGGCTATGATGCTCCTGGAATTAGAGAAGTATATTCTTGTAGAATGGGTAGGCAACCACTGGCACGCATGTCAGTGTGTGGTATGCAAAGGCTTGGCACATGCACTCTGGGGAAGGGGCTGGGGCTGTGTTGCTACAACAAGGATTGAACCCCTCACAGCTCCCTCGCTGTCTGCTCCTGGCACACCAACATCTTACAAGTTGAGGTTCCCGGTGTTTTTGGCGCACTGCCCAAAAATGTTGCTGACCCCTGTTGTGGAGTTTGGTATCTTTTCAGCTTGCCCATCCCAGGAGGTGGTTCTTATTCCAGGAGAGGGAGATTAGGTAGTCCAGTTGGAACAGGGCTATAACCTTGAATTTTTTTTTCTCTGCAGTCTGGAGCTAGAGATGTAAAATTTCCGGAAATTTTGATGCCATGGGAAATAAAATGGGGTTTTTTTCCAGAAAAAAACAAATTTTGGGAAAAATTTAAATAGATTTATTTTCTTCGCACCTTTACAGATCTAAATTTACTTTGCTACTTTAAGAACATAAAATGTATTATGTATAACTTGGTTTTCTCATTAAAATGATCATGTTTGGTATATTTATTCAATTTAAAAGTATAGTTTAGTTGGACAATAATTGCAAATTTACTAATTGAATTTACTTTAAAATGTTTTTAATATTTGTTACAAATGGAGCTACAAGCTGCTTAACTCGAAGGAACCTTAGCATCTCTTAGTTTTTGCCAGTTTATGAGAAGCAGGCAAAAATTAAATTTGAAAATAGAAGAAACCATCAACATTATAGTAAAACAAAGAAAGTTATGTATTCAGGACTTCGTCTCCTCCACAGTGTCGAGGAGATACAGAAAGCACTCATTTTTAGAAAAAGAGCTGAGAAAAATGGGGGAAAAAATTGCTACATGAAATTTTGTCTAATCAGTCTCATTTTCTGAGCTATCACTATCGGCAGTTTCTGCTTCTGATCCTTCATTTTTATCATCTCCATGGACTTCTGAAAGCTGAAGGTTTGCCTGGATTGAGACAAGCTTTTCTACTCTTTCACACGTTAGTTTTTCTTGATTTGGTGCGAGTATTTCCAAATATAGAGCAGTTTCCTTCACATGCTGCAGAAGATGGAGAAATCTGAAGCAAGCGAGAATCAAGAAGAGTCAGAGGCTGTGTTGTGCAAAGGCCTTGCCACCATGTTGCAGGAGAGATATGCTTGGCAGAGTCCCAGACTGCATTCCTGGACCAAATATCTGAAGATGTTCTGTATTCTGCAACATTTGAAAGTACCTTTCCAACATCAAGTCCTAAGTGTGTTGCTTGTTTTGTAATCCAGTCAAATGCAGTAGCACGTTTCTGCCTTTGAATCTTGGATCCAAGAGATCTGCAGCAGCCTGAATTGATTGGTAACAAAATTCTTCCCATCTGTTAATTGCCTTTCACTTTTCTTTCTTCTGTACTTTTAAGTGGAGATGCACTTAGATTCTCAAAAACAGTTGATTTTTATCTGGGCCATTCGGTAAGGAATGTCTGACAAAAGTGCATTGTCTGACTCAGATGCAGTGATTGCTGAAGAAATTGGCTTTAGAATCTTCAGGGAGTTCTGCTGCTGAATCCAGAAGACATCCTCATCAAGGGCAGTGTTCCTTACACTTATGGGTACTTTAAGATCCTCAGTTATTACTTTCTTGAAGAGCTTCTTTGTTTTTTAGTAAACTTTCAAATAAGAACACCACTCCACCCCATCTGGTTTTACTACAGAGTTTGAGTGTCACTATTTTATTCTTTGCATTCTTTTCTTCCTGCTGCTGCTTAAAGACTGCAGCTACAATATGAGTAGCTTTTACATGTTTTATAACTTCTTTTGCTCTTCTATAGATCTTTTGCAGTGTCCAACTTCATAATGTCATTAAGAAGCAAGTTTAATCCATGGGATGCACATCCTATTGCAGTAATATGTGGATATTTATCCATTATGATCTCCCATGTTGCTTTCATGTCACAGATCAGTCGCATCATACACACATTTAACTTGCGCAAATTCAACTATACGCGGGGTGGGAGGGGGGGCAGGGCTTGAGCTTGCATGCGGTGCTGCCGCTTACCTAGAGGCCCATTATGGTGGTAATGGCCACTGCCTCCAAAACCTCCCGCTGTTGCCATGGAGCCGTGCCCGGAGCTGTGTGGCCAGCTGAGGCGGCAGCAGCAGTGTGGTGGTGGCTGGGCAGCACGCAGCCATTCTGACCACCACCCTGCGCTGCGCCGCTGCCACTGGCCACACAGCTTTAAACACGGTGCCCCTCTCACCCCACGTATAGTCACCAATTTTCGCCTTATGCGATTTTTGCTTTACGCGCTGACTTCAGCACCTAACCCCGTGTAAGATGCGACTGACCTGTACTTGCATTATCAGTCAGCCAAGCAAATAAATGCTTAACCACCCCTAGTCTTCTGTAGGACTTCACGCATTTTACTACTAATATACTGTGAAATACAGTATGCCTGTTCTCTCCTATTTCAGTGCTTCTGTAAAAAAAAAAAAAGGTTGTGGTGGTGTTACCACAAAGTTTATGATTTCTTCTCCTTGCACATTTCTCCATCAGTCTGTAAGTACCGCAAGCTTCCTGCCAGTATGCATTTCAGTTATTGACATTGGCATCCTAGAAGAATGTATTGCTCTTGCAAGAGCTTGGTCAATTTTTTCCTGATCTTCAGGTGTCAAAGCTATTGAGTCTTTTGTATACAGAGAGCAAATGAGGCTATTGAGAGTCTTTTGTATACAGTTGCTTGCAATATTTGGTTACTTGAGGATGTTTATTGGGCATCCCTTTGTGATGCTGATGTTATAGAAGAAGCAGCAGCAGTCGAAGGACTTCTGGATTGAGCATGTTGGAAAGAGCTACTTGCACTTTCATCATCATGACCTACCTCCTCCTCACTTTACACCCATGAAGAATTTTTTAATGTCTGCAGGACACTTCTTTACATACAAGGATGTGTTTGTTTAGTCATCCTAGTAGCATTTGGAAAGGCATTTTCATTTGACAGTATTTGCAAAGCACTTTTTTTTTCCTCAGCATAACTTGCAGTGTGGAAATACTTCCATGTGCTAGAAGTTGGTCTCACCATTTAGCTGAGTGGCGGGGAAAAAAAGAAAAAATGTAATTTAGTGGCCAGCTTGCATATATAAACACTAAGCTACAGCATGTACATATTTAGTAATGGATGGAGGGGAGGGCTCCTCAGAGTTAATTGTGAACAACTTCCCTGCCCTGCAGGCCTCACCTCACTGCTAAGGTTGGGTGATTTGTCACAAAACATCAGATTAGTAGGAATTTAATTATGAATTGCATAGGTTATGAAAATATACTAGTGCAGCTAAGATATAGTTTAATGTACTGAATTCAGAGAAATTTTAAACTCTTACCTTTCAATAAAGAAGTATACTTACTTTCAGCTCCTTTGTGCTGCCTCTGTACTTCTGTGGATCTGGGGAGGAAACAGTTTTCTTCTGAATTTTGCTGGCTTTTTCCAGACCCTCGCATTGGTATCTGGAACCCATCTTGAACCCATACTTTTATACTATCAATCAACAAATAATTTCAGGTTCTTTTTGGAACCATTTTTCATCTTTATTCTTTTTATCTAAACATACATGTATTTCTCATAACATTTATGCCCTTTACAAACTTTGCATTTTAAATGTGATGGTCAGGGCAACACAGAAAATACCAGAGCAAGCTCAGGATTTTTACTTTTGTTGTTTCATGAATCACAGCTAGAAAATATACCTTCCTTTTTGACATGTGTTCAAGAAGTGCAGCAGCTACAGCTAGGTAAATTGGCATTTTCATTCCAATTACCTGATGTGGAACATGAATTCTAGTTTGAGTAGAGTTGACAATCCACAATCTGTCCATCGGGGCCTGGTGGAAATGGAGTGTGGGACTTCAGTGTTCTCTGACTGGAATAGCAGAGTATCCACTACTGCAATATGTTGAACCATATTACAGAATCCTAATGCTTTGGTGATTTGGAATTATTAGCAGGAGGAGCAGCGTCTAGCAGAGCTGGAACAGCAGGAACAAGAAAGAAGAAAACTGCAAGAGGAGCAGGAGAAGAAAGCCAAGTTGGTAGAATCTACTGCTGGCAGTAAACAGCTAAATGTAACAGTGGATGTGGAGGTGAGGTTTGGACCATTGGCAAGATGCAACCTGTGCAGAATACCTGGGTAGAAGTGAGGCTGCTGTCCTGTCTCTACTAGATTTTCATTAGAGAAGTGATGGTGTGGGGTAGTGGTTATATTGGATTAAATCAAGGTACCTGGTTCTAGCACTGACTTACTGTGTGGTGTGGGGCAATTCATAACTTTTGTTCTTCAGTTCCCTCACATTAACATAGGGATTACTTAGATTTTTATACTGTGGTACCTGAGCACCTATCCACCTATAGAAGGCTATGAGGTTATAAACTCCTGCAAGACTGTTTCAGGCTGGACATAAGGAACAATTTCTTTACTGTCTGAGCCCCCAAGGTCTGGAATAGCCTGCTGCCAGAGGTGGTTCAAACACCTACTTTGAACACATTCAAGAGAAACCTGGATGTTTTTCTTGCTGGGATCCTATGACCCCAGCTGACTTCCTGCCCCTGGTGCAGGGGGCTGGACTCGATGATTTTCTAAGGTCCCTTCCAGCCCTAATGTCTATGAAATCTATGGAAAAGAAAGGTGTTACAAGGGCAGTATATTACTGGTTTTATCATAGCCTTTTACTGGGAACCATGGGGTCTTTTGAAAGAGAATGAGACCATAGAAAGTAGGGACATCATCTCAGTGAAGGCAAAGTACTTAAAGCTTTAATAAATGAAAGAAATAGCCACACAATGGGACCAGGATATGCAGGGTGGCTCAGGATCTTTGCTGAATTGTAATGTTATGTGGCTGAAACACTTCTACTCCAAGCTCTTAGTTGCTGAATTCTCATTAAATGATTTACTTGTGGGCTTGGTCATAAAGGAGAACATTTGAGGCATACATTAAAAATTAATGCCTGGATCTTTTTTTGGGAGATTTAAAAACGTTAAATGCAAACATTTAATTGACATGTGGAAGTTGAAATTTCAAGCAAGTATTTAAACATTCAGAGTGAAAGGAATATCTTATAGAAGGACAAGATTCCATTTTCCACATTTATATATATGGCTATAACCTTGGGTTTGTCTCCTGTTTTGCAACCTGGAGTGTGATAATTTGGGGATAAATGAAATATTACTTTTACATCTTCATGTGTAATAAAGGACTGGCAGGTACATTCTATGCCTAAATTGGCAAATTTAATCAGCTTTATTTAAAGCAACATCTTATTTGTATGTTATCAAAATTAGTTTTTTCCATCGGAATTAGAATAAGCGTTATCTATATGATCATACATGCACTATACCCCGCTAACGTTCATATCAGATAAATACCTAACTCAGCTGCAGAATATACCATCAGCCTCACTGGAACAAAGTCCAGTTATCTACATATTGGGTTAAGTATATAGGCTACTTAAGTGCACAGGAATTCAGGTCTCTGTCTGCTTTGTAATTTAGTTTTACCCATACACTTCCAGAATATAACTAAGAGCCTTCTTTCAAGGCTTCTCAAACAGCATTAAACTAAGTAGGGATTCTGTCATATTCAAGGCTGCTGTTAAAGGCATAAGGCACTCTGAAAAACAAGATGCCTCTTAGTAAGGTGTAGAAAGTTTAGTGCAGCTTGTTCCTGTGGTTAATGATTTGTTCTTTAAACTGAGTTCAGGTGAGTACCTAGCTGTTTTTCAGTCCTGAGGTTAAGCATTTCAATGGAGTAAACCATAAACCTTATAACATGACTACTACACATGTAATGGGTAGCTTAACCACAATTAAGTTGAAGTCTTGATTAATCTTAATGGTGGAGCATTTGAAAGCATAAATAGTCTCTCGGTACACTATAAAGTCACTGCCAGAGTTTAGAGTAGAACAGTAATTTGTGATTTGAGCCTACTGTACTGAATAGAATTGATGCTTTCAAATTAGACACTTGCATTGTTAGCATGTCAGTTTGACACTTACCACGCTGATTAGGTGCCTTATGCTTTAGCTGGAGATGGGAATGTAAAATCTGAGTTAGGCCAAAACTTTATTGTTTTCAGTGGGTCTTATTCTTTATTATAAATAATAGGTAGTGAACAAAAAATGGAATGTTTTGGCTCTCCTGGGTCTTACCTGTGCTCATTAGAACTTCTCACTGTCACTGCTATTGTATGTTATGGCTGTTTCTTTTCTATTTCTAGAATTCCTCTCTCTGCAACTCCTATCAGATGACCCCCCAAGGCCTGAAAGGGCCCAAGCCCCCAAAGATCAATCCATCAAACAACTATGGGATGGATCTGAACAGCGATGACTCCACAGATGATGAGAGCCAGCCTCGCAAGCCCATTCCTGCCTGGGCCAATGGTATGAGTACATTTACTCTGAAATTTGCCTTTGTAAATTTGGAAAATCCTCCTGGAGCTTTCAAGGTTGTCAGTGTGGCTGCTACTAGGAGCAGGTTTCTGTACCTCATAAGTGAGAGGTGGGCATTGTCCTGTTGAAGGAGCCAGCCTTGGGTTGTGTGGATCAAACACTATACCTGGAATGGTCTGTGCCAGTTTCTAGAGTCTTTAAGGTGGGGGGGACCTCTTCCTTTAACCAGCAGTCTGCATTGTCACTACTGACACTTAAAGGCAAAGGGACAATTTAAAGTAACTTCTGCAACCTGTATTTTGGGCCTAAATCTGTTTGCCATTGACTGTTCCTAAAGGTCCTGTGCTGTTTGCAAACAGGAGAGAGAATGCAAGTGTCTAAGCAACTATTAACCCTTGAGTACTGTAGATGATCTCTGGCAGGCCCATATTCTGGCATATCAGTGTCTAATTCTGTTACTTTGTATAACCTCATGGGACAGCTGAAAAAGGAGAAGTACTATACAGGGCTGTGTGAAGCTTCAGTCCCTGATTCAATTCAGTGGAGATTCGGCCTGATTCGATGGCCGAATCTCCAAATCCAAATTGAATCAGGAGACCCTTTAATTTCTCTGAATTGAATCAGAACCTTCCGAATTGATTCAGAAAGACTCGGCGATACAGATATAGACACAGCTTTAAATGTGTGCCTGGTACCTCGAGGTATGTAGAAAAAACATTTAAAGATGTGTCTGTGGCCAAATCACTGATTCTCCAAATCAGCGTTGAATCTTCAGATTCAGATTTGGCCAAATCGAATTGGGGGCAGGTGATCCGAATCAATGAATCAAATGTGGCCCGTTTTGCACACTCCTGGTACTATATCACTTTCAAGAGAGAATTGAGAAAAGCCTCTTACCAGATTTCCTACAGACCCAAGACTAATCAGAATGTGTGCTACTTAGAGCCTTTACTTTCATTATGTTCTTGCCAATGTCCCGAGGCCTCAGCAATGCTAGAAGCCAAAGGCCTGGAGCATATTGTTCCCTCCCTTTTGACCTGCAGTCATGAGAGAGAGTGGATGGTTAGCATTTAGAATGGACTTTTATTCTTATAAGTTTTAATGAACTGGTTTTTAATTCTTTCAATCTGTCTACTTCTTCAGGGTCTCAGCTTAGTCAAGCTGTCATCCACCAATACTACAACCCTCTCAATACGGACATGCTCTTTGGGACTATCATCAGCCCGAAGCTGGAGGACATTTTCTATAAGAGCAAGCCGCGATACTTCAAGCGCACCAGCTCTGCTGTCTGGAATTCCCCACCTTTTGGAGGTGCCAAAAATGTGCTGGGCCTGCCATACAGCCTGAAAAAGTACTGATCCTGGGGAACGTCAGTCTCCTGTGGAATAGCCATGGCTTTAGTCTGATTTTTTTATTTCTGTGTAAGAAAACCTGTTTTGTTTTGGGGGTTTGTTTTTTTTTGTACCCCTAATACTCAATCTCTGTAAATCTTTTAATGAATTAGACCTTAGCACTGAATAAAAATCTGGGGCTTTTGCACTGTGTTCTTGACAGGATGTTTTTTCTGTAATGAAGACGGAATACGGAGGGTGGCAGAGGGAAGCAAAAGAACAGGAAATACTCGCTGTGGCACATGCCTCTCCTTTTGTCATTAGATTGAAATCTTGTATTTGTGAAATCTCTAGTCTGATATTTGTCATCATGATGTGCCATCTGTACTATGCCCTGTGGAACAAGCACTCATAGCCATAAATATCACCAGGGTGTTAGTGAGATGCATACTAAATAGCTCATCCTGCATTGGTGTTGTATTTAGGAAATCTTAAACTTGGTCCCAATGACTAGTCAAATCCACCATTCCATTTAAGCCCACTAGCCTTAGTGTGTGAACATAACTAAACTGTAGGAAGCATCCATAGGTGGGTTTAGTGTTGTTGTCATAGACTTCTTTCTGTAAAGATACCGTTTGATGGTATGAGTGAAATTTATTTTGTTGGGGATGTGAACGGTTGGCTCAAGTTGTACTAATGGTATTATTCACTTATAAATCCTCAATGCTCCCTGGAGATGTACTGTTTGTTAGTTTCCTACTACTGGAAATAGGGGAAATTAAAAAAAGATTATATGGAACTGTTATTTTTGCCTTTGCATAGTGGCACATGCTTCTTACCTTTCCATTTCTTCAGGAGTCTCGGATGAATATTTCCTTCCCTAATATACAGAAGGAGCTAAGGGATAATTGAGATTGCATGGATTTTTATACTCTTGGATGTTGCTGCTGAGATAATCTACGGGTGACATTTTCAAAGGACAAATTACCGACAAGTAATGTTACCTCATGTATATAGCCGAACACTTTTATTTCAACTTTTAACAATACATTTGATCTCAATGTGTAAATTCTCTTTTGTTGCTCAAGAAAAGGTGGCAGTTTGTTTGTTTGTTTGTTTTTGTCCATTTTTGTTTATCTTTTATTTTTAATTAATTTGTCCATTATTCTGCTCCCCATTTCTGAGAGTTCTGTACCTAAATCGCTTTCCAAGTTTTTAATGTATGTAGCTTTGGAGAATACGTAATTTCAATTGAAGCATAAATACCCTTAGCTGAAGAAAAATCAAGAGTGGCCTTTTAATCACAATTGGAGAACAACTAAAATAGTTTTTCATGTTAGATTGTGTTGAAAAACTTTAGCTGCATATACTGAAATTTGTTACACATGTTTTCCAATATTATGTTCGTTGCATCAAAAGAAATACAGGCAGTCCTCAGACTTACAACACAGTTGGTTCCTGAAAACTGTGTCTTAAGTCGAAACGTTGTAAGTTGGAAACAATTTTTCCATAGGGAAAGTGTTACAAATGGGGGATCGGTTCCTTTAAGACGGTCAATACTGTGTGCAGCTGCTAAGTGGTGGAAGGGGAGGGGAAAGGGGCATGGGGGTGGGGGGCAGATCAATGCCCACCTGCAGTGAAGGAGGGATGGACTGGGACCAGGGCTGGGGCAAGTGCTGGGCAGCAAGGGCTGAGTTGTGGGGGAGCATTGGCTTGCTGCTGCGTGCTGCTCCCCCTCCTGATCCCACCACTGGCCCAGGTGTAGCCCGCCAGGGCATTCTATTTAGCCTGCAGGACCTCTAAAAAAAATTTTTTTAAATAATATTTATTTTCCCCTGGCTGCCTGACCCTCAGTAAGCGACCCTCCGCCCAAAATAATTGCCCACCCCTGCTGTAGCCCCTGCCACCCACCCGGGGTGCAGCCCCGGCCCTGCCTGCCCC